CTTGTTTCACCAGGAGTTTTAATCTTACATTTGGACTTCGGCGTTCTAGTCTTTCATTGCATCGAGATGTATTCTCATAGTTGAACCTCAAAAGGCCATGTAAAACTTGAAGAAATGTTGTAACAGTTGAAGATAAGAGGGAACATGTGTACAGACAACATTACTGCAGCCATTAGTACTGGCAGAATGACACGCTGTACTCTGGCCCACTTCATGCGCCATAAAACTTGGCCTGTCTGAACCTTTCGGTTTTAATGACCTGCAGCCTGGCGGGAGCGTCCCTAGAAGCCTTCTGACCCCCCTGTGACCCTACATGTATGTGTAACTCTATCTGGGCCGAGGGGGTGGGTGGAAATCTGATCCTCCTGGCTGAAAAGTGTTATCAGGGTCTGGACCATCCCTGTAATCCAGGCCGTGGGAAGGCAATTGTTCACCCTTCATCATTCAAACAGACCTTGTTGATACATGGAGTCAGTCCCTCTTGACCAGTGTTTGAAGGGGTTTAGGAAGGTTTTCAGAAGATTGCAGGACTCCTTTTGTCTGAAGTAATAAATAAATAGAAGTTTTGCAGTTTCTCTGAGCAGCACATGACACCAGTAATTTTGCCTGAGAGTGAGACCTTGGAATATTACAAGATACTAGCTTGAAGCTTTCTTGAGCTAATATTAACATGCATTGATATTACACTACCAGTAGAGTCATAGATCAGACATATTTATAGAGACATATTACTAGACCTACTACTAACATCGCTGCTTGCTATAGGCGTAGTATATGACATTATGCAATACTTGTATGTTTGTCTATTGTCGGACTCATTTCATTTTACTAATGTTGCAACAATGAAAACACTTGCAACAGACTGGAGAAGCATAGATGTTATGGCATGTATTATTATTCTGCATTCCTTGCTCAGAAGCAAGAGTTACACAGTAAGGTGACAGCCTGTTTCGGAAAAATCAAGGGTTTGTCAAATTGTATGGGAATTTATACCTGTTGTGTACTGAAGTTTTTCTTCTTCTCTAGAACCCAAGAGTAAATAAACCTTGATTCAAATATTGACTATCTGTCAGCATTTTGAAGTCTTACAAACAATAGAAGGTCATACAATATGTAGATTTCAGTGTACATTACAGTGAAGTTCAGTTTTGCTAACTGTGGTGGTATACTGTTGTAAGGTCTTGTTAGACACACCACCACATTGAATGAAATGTCCCCTGTCATGGGGATTTCATCCCACCAAGAGTTATTTCAAACTTGACTGGTTCCCTGCTGCCTGGGTATTTGCTAACACAGATTTTGTATCTTCCTTGCCCTTTGAGAGCCAAGATCACAGACTAACAATTTACAATGTGTGTGTATAAACAGGATACTGATCTGGGATGGCCTAAAGTGGCTTGATGCAAACAAGACCAGGCTCAGATTTGTTGGTTGGATAAACATGTGTGGGGTCGCTGGGAGGTCATGCTGGCCCCCCAGGCCCCACGCTAACTGGCAGCTTTATAGTCCAGGTGTCTTTTATAGACCAAAGAAAGATCTGCCATTCAGAAAACCCTCAAACCCTTTCTTTCAATTATATCTGCTGGTGCAAAAGTCGTTACACGCTCTTAAAAAGGAGTTGTAAAGTTTATGATGGTTTTAGAAGCCAGGAACTTTCAAAAACCTGGCTGCAAGGAAGAGCAGAAATTTAACTTGCAAATTGTGTGCTGGACACAAAAAGAAAGGTACCCGGATGTGGTAACGGCTGGTGAATGCCATATTTTTTGTTTATCTGGTGCACAGTGTATATTTTTGTTTATCTGATACACAGTAATATGTGAAAGACTGTTTGTTGACTATGATAGTTAAATCTTACTGTCACACTCACAGGGATTATTTTGTTTAGTAGGATATTTTATGAACATTAAATATGAGAGATACTATGTTTGGAGTAGGTATGAAAGACATTATTGCAAGGAAAAGTTTGTGTAAATATGTGCTCAAGCCTTTGTCAACTAAATGCAAACACAAATATTACCATTTACATAATGGCCATTAGCAGACTCCTTCTAATCTCAACAGCTTGTGTTTCAAATGGGCTCTTCATCGAATTCCTAACAAAACAAAACCAGCAGTAGTGCATGGAAGTGCCAAGGTTCATTCTAAGTTTAATGGTGCCTTGTCACTTGTATTTATAGCCTCGCACTGAAAGATTTCCCAGTTAGTCACCCTCTTAAAGATTTATGGCCGTTTCATCCTACTGATGGGTAAGGTGGTGTCTGTTCAGGAGCATTTTACCAGGGGCTTTCTAAAATATGTATGGATGCATTGCTGTGCCTATCTTGTCATATGATATGATAAGAAAAAAATCACATGTCTTTGTTACACTGTGTGCATGTGATATGTATGAAAAAGTGTGTGAAGCAAACTAACAATACTTATAGGCACCTGTGTTTCTGTCTAACCCTAACATTTAAATTGTTGATTTGTGGACAGATATTATCACAATGAATTTTGTTCATATTCTTTTCAAGATTATACCTGAGCTATATTCTTGTATCAATGGAAGGACACTTTGAGGCTGCACTGTCAGTCTTATAATGAGATCTGGGGCTCCTGCTTGATTGTGTTTTGCCCCCCAGCAAATGATATCGTTTTTAATTAGGTGGTCTGTTCATGCCAGGTATTGTGAGAAGGATTTCGTGTTGAGACCACCCTACCCACCTAGATTCTCAAGATTGAAGTCTGTGCCAAAATATATCAGGTATTAGAACATCCCTGTCATGTGTTGCTGAAGGAATTTGGCAGATAGGGGGGGTGTAGGAATGGGGATTACTGGAGGAATTTGTACCTTGGAGGGTGGCCATATCTGATAAGACAGTTTAAACTCAGATCTTCTGTTAGATAACATCAGGTCGGCAGCAAACCTAATCAGAAGGTGGACTCAAACAAGCCCACTACCTGGGATAATGAGTAAACTAATGAGGCACTTTTATCTCCCGAGTGTTTTTGTATCAAAACAAATGCATATCACATGGTCTCCTCTCCTTGTAGTCTCCATGGATCAACTTGCAATTAATTCTGTGCAATACAAAGGTGAATAGTGAGCTATAAATATCTGATATCAGCTAAATTATGATATAAAATTTAGACTTATATGTATGACTAGAAAGAAATCATGTTAACTCATAGTAACTTGTTTCTTAGCTAACATATTGCAACATGAGTTTTCAGACCCAACATACATGTAGGATTACTCTAGTTCTATGACCATAAATTTTTCTGTTGTTGAAATGTGTAACTGAAAGTCTTACACATGTGTAATTGACATAGTATAATGAATGTATAACGGTTACTTTACAGTTGGGACGTCTTTGTGACTATGACCTTACATGAAGGTCATGTAGTGATGTCCTTCACGTGAAGTCCCTCGGGAAACCCTTAACTTGGTCTAGTGGAAGGTCCAAGCCTCCGTTACCATGGCAGCAGACAGAAGGGTCAGGTATACAACTGGGCAGTGAATTTTTCAAACAAAGGGAAAGAGATAAGGAAAGCTGCACCTGGTTTGTACATGGCAACATTACGCAAACACACAAATAACGGTTGACTTCTGTTTCAATGGTTTAAAAGTAGTTGTCCCTGGCACTCTTGAAGTGTTCTTGCCAGAGTCCTCCACGAATCTTTAGAGGCCACATATTTCTTGTGTACCTGTGAATAAAAGCAACTAGTACCTTAAAGTGAATAAGATTTTAAAAAATATATTCATTTCATTCTACCTTGTGTTGATTTGATGACTTGCACATGCAATAGTATTACCAAATTCATAAATAAATGTAATGGAAAATATAAATAAGATAAAACGTAAAAGACGCAAGTAATACATGGAGCACAAAGAACACCTGTAACCCATGAAAAAGGCCAAATTTTGGGTGAATTGGGTAAGCTGATCTTTCCTGATGTTGGGAATGGGAATTGAATGGTGCGGTCAAACAGCTTTCTACTTCGAAAAGTACGGTAAGGGTTTACTCAGGTGCCACTTGGTAAAGTTTGGATGAATAAATATGATGTTTGCCTGCCCAGCCCATCTGTATTAGATAGTGAAATTCTTGTAACAGTTCTATAGAAGCTTGCACCCAAAAATGTACAGATAATGCTAAAGCATAGACTATCTGTAGTACTGTGATGGAGAATTCTTTGAACTGAAGTTACAGTGCCCAGGTAGTGGAATGTAAGAATCTGTTGTTTTGCAAGTTTTATTGCTCTTAAGATAAGAAGAGTGTTTGAACAAGTAAGAGTGGTGCCAGCCAATACAAGGGTGGTAAAAATGTGTTACTGGGGAAATGGTGTGTGTTTTTAATCTCTGGTGATATCAAGAATGATATACTTCTGTGTACTTGACACAAATGCTGCTGCTTTATTTGGAAACAGTCAGCTTGCTAGGGTAAAAAGGAGTGGATTGTATTTTTCAGCTGCCTGTAGCCATTTTGTGACATTTTCAGTCGGCATGGCTGAAAAATCCAATACAGGATGTTGACTTAGCAAATATGAAATAATTGCTTGGTCAAATAGGAAGATTTCATCTTGTTTGACTGAATGACTGGTTGATCGATGATGTGAAGGTAACAGGTTGTGTGCTAAAATCATTTTAGGTCAAGTGTTGAATAAGAACATGTACCACCAAAGATGGCACCACACAGTGTGCCTTGCTGTGTGGGCTTTGTGCAAAAGCGCCTCCTGTGGCATGTTAGCAAACTGCAGGTTAAGCCCAAGCTGGTACGGTGAACTTTGACCACTTTACCTCCCTCCCTCTATTTGCTGGTCTACTGACCCGGCTGTCCCTGGTTCGAATCCCAGCAAATGTTATGCCATTGACATGTTTTCTTTTAATGTAAGTTATTTCACATGATTATACAACATGTATATGAAAGGAGATATAGATAAAATTCTTCTACATATTTTTTCCAATTGTCTGTGTATGCAAAAAAATTAACCATAAATTCCTCTCCCTGTTGTCTGTACAGTTTTGAGCATCAGAGGTGCACAGGAGGACGAGCCTCCAGACCCTCAGCTGATGAGATTAGACAACATGTTGCTGGCGGAGGGGGTGGCCGGTCCTGAGAAGGGGGGTGGTTCGGCAGCCGCCGCGGCCGCAGCTGCGGCGTCAGGTATCGACGAATGTATGCCAACTTTACTTAATGATTTTGGACGTCTCGTCTGTCTTGTGGAGGGTGCTATCTAACCACATCTGTAATCTAACATTCAAACACCTCTAACTCTTCTAACTCCTAGTGTCAAGTCTCGCGCTTTCAGATGTTTCTCTTGTGATATTCGGTACAACAAGAATTATTTATGATCAAGACTGTATAATTGTAATTGTGTGAAAATCTTCACTCTTCATGATCAACACATTTGCTTGTCACTTCATTTTCATAACTTCTTGCTTTCCATCTTTATGAATAGAAATGTAATGTAGTATTAAAAGTGTTTCTTCGTGAATTATAATCTTTCTGATTATTCTGTTGCTATTACCAATAATAGAGAGTCATTACCGTATAAATTGTGTCATAGTTTAGACATGATAATGATTTCATGGTTGTTATAGTTTACATGGTAATCTGAGCTGTAAGTACTGGTAGCACATATAAATTCCATCCACTCTAGTCTAACTCTAAGTCATACTGATTATGAAAGCTGAGTGTGATGTTTGTTTGCAGGGGGCAGCCCAGGACAGGCAGATAACACAATCGAACATTCGGACTACAGAGCGAAGCTGGCACAGATCAGACAGATCTACCACACAGAGCTGGAGAAGTATGAACAGGTGGGTGAGGAGGGGGCTGGAGAGGGGGGTCCTAGCTTCACTGGGGTGTGTGAAAGAAGGGGGTGGAAAGGAAATTATGATAAGGCAAGGAGTGGTCATTTGGATTATTGGCGTAAGGAGACAGCAATGTAATGTACATTGGAAACAAAAACTGCAAGGGTATAGAATTGTCAGTGATTATACAGTATTTGTAACAGGAAGAATATTGATGATTTGTAACACTGGCCAGTGGCCTGTGAGTTACTCTGTTCTTAGAACTACGCTAATCCATTTTTATATTCAGCTGTACTAGTAATGAAGAACCAAGAATATGAGGTTTACCTACTTGTGGCACAGAGTAAAATGTTTCAATTTGGAAAGATGAAAACATTTATGCAGATTAACTGTATACAGTGAAAGTTTGTTGAATTGTTAATGTTGATGATAGGACCATGCATGCATCGTTGGTAACCTGTGTAGGACGAGGTACTTATGACAAAACCTGCACCTTCTCCCCTTTCTAAGCAGGCCTGTAATGAGTTCACCACCCATGTCGTGAACTTGCTCCGCGAGCAGAGCCAGATCCGGCCAATCGCACCCAAGGAGATCGAACGTATGATCTCCATCATACGTAAAAAGTTTAGCGCCATCCAGATCCAACTGAAACAGAGCACATGTGAAGCCATCATGATCCTTAGGTCCCGCTTCCTAGACGCTAGGTATGTAGAGAATCACACAGGGAAAAGACAGTGCAAGAAAAGAAACGAAAAAGAATGGAGGCCCAGGTATACTAGGGTGGGGCGGCACATTACAGGTGCTGTTTCAATGTACCACACAACAACCAACATCACCTCTTCTAGGCTTCTGCAGTTTTTCTGGTGCAAAGGTTTAGGGAAACGCTGCAAACAGCCATGTCCATTGTCTTTGCCAAACCACTCTCACCGCTTGAACTCCCATGTCACTTCAAAAGATAGATCTTTTGGTTAATTTGGTTTTCAAATCAATGAAAAGCTAGGTCCTTGAAAGAGATGGCCCATTGAGGATGGGCTCCCTTTTACTCTACTCTACAATAAAGCTACCTGCACTCCTAAATCCTTCATAGCCTCCTTGGCAGGTGCAATGAGGGTTCTTGTAGCATGGGAACCTGTACTTTTGTGCCAGAAACACTGGGGTGCGCCGCTGAAGGGTCCGTTTTGCTGATTCTCCGACTGGGACCTTCACTTTCCTGTCTTTCTGTCCCCCCTCAGGCCTGTAACGAGTTTACCATGCACGTGAGAAGCCTGCTAAAGGAGCAGTCCCAAATCCGACCCATAACGCAAAAAGAGATCGATCGCATGGTGTCGATCATCCGACGCAAGTTTAACGCCATCCAGGTCCAACTGAAACAGTCGACATGCGAGGCCATTATGATCCTTAGATCGAGATACTTAGATAATAGGTATGCAGAATCACCACTTTTTTCCTCTTTCTCATGTGTGCCGACACTTCAGTGTGTGGAAGTGTGGAGTCTCGTATCTCTCTCAGCTTCTGCACCAATGATGCCTTAGTCAGAGGAGCATTGGTGACAGGAGACGCTCAAAAGATACAAGATTCTGTCGGTTGATTTCTAACTCTTCAGCCCTTCCACCTGTCTACATCTGCAGCCCTCCTGCAGAATTAGGCAGGATGTGGCTCAACTGTTTTTCCCCGTGAATGTTACTCCAGCTTTCTACAGCTCTGTGATGTTTCTTAGTCTTCTTTTCCTCCCAGTTTCCCTTCGTGTGGTATTTTTTGCAGTCCTCTGATTTGTGCTGTGAACTGTCCTGTGTGTAGTTTTAATCTGGGTCTTTGCTAGGTGGGAGGTGAAGGAAAAGGGTGGGCTGCCTCTACTTTGTAAAATTCTGTAAACACCACGACTAAACCAAAGATTACTCAATTACTGAGCGCAGCCATCATTTGAGCCTCAGATTAACAGTCTTCCCGTTTGTTTATTAACATTATAGCTTCTGAAGTTAGTTCGTAATTTATTTTGCACTTAGTTTGATTCTGTTAATTTTTAACCAATTTCTGACTTTGAATATTTTAACATTTGATTTGAGACATAAATGATTCTTGAAATCCAATTAATGAGTTAGAGTTCTTTTACAAGTTAATGAGTACTGGGCCTTCATTCTTTTATGATTATGTTTTCTTTGCACTTGACATTTTCTTTCTATTTTAAGTTGACTTTCCTTAGTTTTTCTTGTGTTATTTATTTGTAACCTTAAGGCATTTTTCCGCATGCTTGTTCTAAGGTTTTGTTTTGAATCTGTAGAACTAATGCACTTTCCGAGCAGGGCTCGTTTTTCATAAACACAACTGGACTGGATAAGTGGATTAGAATCACTTTGCTTCACAGTAATTAAGCATTTTTCTGCACAAAGCCTAACTAGATTTGTGTTAGCAAAGTAGCTTCAACAGCCAAACATGTCATGGGTTACAGAAAGTGCCACAGATTTCCTGCATTACAACAAGGTAATCACTAACAAAAGTGCCAAGGTCAATTGTGTTCCACATGTTTCAAGTGAGTTCAAATCCTAGTGAAGAGGTCAAATTACTGCAAAGGCTGGCAGCAGATTCGGCCAATCATCTGGTCTAATTATATTTGGATCATGTTACTGGTTTGGAGGCACTGGAGTAAAAGGCCACCTGTTTGAAAATTGACTGAAATCCCACCAGATTGAAACACAATCAGTTCTGAAGGCTTCAGAATGTGGTTTCCTCCCAAAAGGTGTGACTTGATTTTATTAGACAGAGACTTCTTTGGTGGTCTGCAGTCAGTTTTTGGTCTCGAACTGTCCACTTGGCAAGACGGATTCTAATTTTGTAACTCAGGAAAGATGCTTACATCAGGGGATACAACGTATCAAGACTACAGGTTGTAACGCTATTGAACAGATGTTCATGATCAACTTGTGATAGATACGACAATGAGGCACTTTTTGCTGTTGAAGCTATCTTTGGTAACACATTCTGTTGGTGTTAATATCATATCTTCTACTTAAACAGAAAGCTTAACTTTGTTTTGCATGCTTGTTAAGTAATGCTAGCACATTGAAAGGCATTGGTACAAAATATGTCATGTAGGTATGAAGTTGTTTGTCTTTCTCACTTTGTTTGGGTTGTTTTATTCCAACACAACAGACGAAAGCGAAGGAATTTCAGCAAGCAGGCAACAGAAGTCCTGAATGAATACTTCTACTCGCACCTGTCCAACCCTTATCCTAGTGAAGAAGCAAAGGAGGAGCTGGCTAGAAAATGTGGCATCACGGTATCACAGGTACGTCATGGAACAAGCTTACTCTCTGCCCTTACGAGGGTCAGCATGGGGGGATCCGGGCAAAGCTTCATGGTAAATTTAGGAGGACCAGCAACTCACGTGTGCAGACAGTATATTGACTAAAGGTTTTGTGAACATTGGATTGTTGAACTTCCATTTAATTCACGGTGTGTCTTGTAGAACTAGTTTGCGAACACTGACATAACTAGACACTCCATCGGGACTTCTGCCATTCAAATAATTTGTCCATAACACTAACATGAGTTCAGGGTATCAAATACTAGTACCTGCAACTTTGAATTAAAGCATCCAGCTTCACAACTAATTCACAGAAAACATTGAATTAGAGCAGGCCTGCTATGATAAACAGTGAATTGAAGTACCTCATTGAAAAAGGCTTGCAGATCCTCCCATACACGTATGTTAACACTAGCTACAAGTTTCAAATTTTCAAGACTTTTTATTGCTGTTAGGCAAGTAATACCAATCAATGCTGCTTTCTACAACAGATATCACTGACAAATTTTCATACCAAAATGGTGGATACACAATTATAGTAAGTCACAAGTTAACCTTCACCCCAAGTTGACCCAAACAGCTCCCTTATCAACTAATTGCACCTTCCCCACCCTCAGGCAGGTTTGCAAACAATAGATAATCCTGCCCAATTGTCTGTGAGTGGCACTTCCACTCTCATTACCATGCCCAACATAGCATGGATATCTTTTCAGGACTCGAAATTCATTCTTGGGAAAAGGTGCACAAAAATTTTTGGGTGCACCATATCAAACAAAACATAATTAAGAGATCTTTCTGCTCCTCTTCTGAGCTTGGATCCAAAATGGGAGCTAACTTCACAATCTTAAACAAATACTACTAGATTTTATTATTTTTCTGACACTTAGATGCCAAGAATATCCTGTATTCTATTATACATTTGATATGTAAAAAATACCTTCAAAAATATTTGGGTGCACCAGTGCACCCACAGCAAAAAATTGGGTGCACAGCTTCAATTTTGGGTGCACTATGGTGTACATGCACCCAGTATTTCGAGCCCGGCTTTTATACAAAATCTATGGCCTTCCACTATGTACTGTATGTGTAGTTCAGCCCTTGCAATTTTCGAATGTTTTACACATTATTATAACTACATGATAAGGCAGCAAAAGATTTTCTTTTTACGCCATGTACAGAGAGCACATGTACTTGAACATGTATGGTGAGTCAGTGCCCAACCCAGTAATTCGCTAATGACTGTCATAACCACAAAAATAACACGTTTGGATTGTTGAGCAGCCACGATGTTGGTTTGCACTCACGTTAAACCAAACCTACGCTTTACGGGCTCGTAAACCATGCATTAGACTCACCTCATTAACTTGTGTAAACCTGAAATTTACATTAAAAAAGTAATTATTTCAAGACCCTTCTATTGATATGCTTGCTACAGAAGTCTTGAAAGATCTTACTTGTATTTGAAAGAAAAGATGTTCACACCTCGAGGGCAAGGAGAAGTTTATTGCCAAATAATCGTCTGATCCCAGAAGATTTCATCAGACTGAGTGATTAGATATACCTTAATTAGATCCCACCCCCAGGTTGTGATTTTGTGTTGACTGTATATGGTATACTAGTACACTGTTGAGACACAGTAGTAGATATTGAAGTACCATGTTTTGTTTCTTACATGTACTTGAAGTTTTTGTTCAGAAAGACCCTTACTATGTCCTTAGATGATAAGATACAATGTGTTACCGTTTTTTATCTTTTAATTAATTTTCTGAGGTAAATTATTCGATTTGACTGCATGCAATTTCTAATGTCCAACCAAGGACTGTATAATGTCCTTGGTCCAACTAATCTGCATGATTATTGTGTTCCCAATGTTAATGTATGGGATATTGTGGCTGACTGTCTTGTATATATCTAATCCTGTGCAAGTTGACTTCCAGTTTTTGTCACTATCCAGTCGTGTAGTCTGAAGAATTGACTACTGGAACTGTATAAACTGTGCTCCCACAGCTGATTATCCTCTACTCAAAAACTATCCTTGCTTTGACTTTGTTTCTTTCATATCAGTTCCATTTGAGTCACTTTTATTGTTCCCTTCAGAATTTTTTTAGCGAAAGAAAAAGAAAATTTGTTTTCTTTGGTGATTTTTACAAGTTTGGTTACCATTCCGGGGCTTTAAGTATGGTGTGATTTTGCCGTTGCTTATGCTTTCTACGTTCCTATTGATTCTGATGACCAGTGTTTAACTTTGTGGTCAGACCTTTGTTTCAGTGCAGAGGTTCTCTTAATTCCAAACCTATCTGATGTCAGTAGGCAAAACACAAGGGAAACCGCACTGTGTCAGACCCACAGTACACCTTGGCGGCTAGAAATTCATTCACACAACATGTAGCCCCGGATGGTCAAATGTATGATGCAAATTCTAGCAAACTTTTGCAAATTTTGCTGCTTTTTGAATTCTCAGCTTTCCGACTGTATTTGAATCCTTTTCCAGCATTTCTGAAAATCCATAAATTTTTTTAATGTAAAATTGATTGGGAAAGAGCAGTGCCAACATAGCTATAGGTAGAAATGAGGTATGTTACTCTAAGGGACGTCTCTCTCTGTCCTAAAGGTTCAGCTGCAGAACTAGCTGCCCCTCTCTCAACCTAAAGCTGTCTGTCTATGTACTTGTGAATGAATTTGAAGCTTCCTTCTGAAACTTTGATACAGAGGCAGTTTTTCTGGGTCGCAGTAAAGCCAGGAGTAGAACATGGCCCCTCCCCATGTTCTGCTCTGTTCCAGCCTCCGCAGGTTTTACAGCGCCCCCTGTGTTCTTGTGTGTTGCATGCAGGTGTCAAATTGGTTTGGGAATAAGAGAATCCGCTTCAAGAAGAACATTGGGAAGGCGCAGGAAGAAGCTAACCAGTACGCAGCCAAAACTGCGGCCGCCGCTGCCGCCGCGCAGCAGCTCTCCCAAGCGACCAGTGCATCCCATGACAACGCGAGTTCTCCCGGTGACTCCGGAACTCCCACGACACCAACGCAAGGTTATTCTGAGTTCTAGGGTCCAGCCCTCCTGTATGATAGACATTGTTCTTGTGATGCAGTGTTGCCTCTCAGCAACTGTGTGGAACGTATAATACAATCCACAGAGCCTCCTGCCAGGTTCTTTTCTAAAAATGGTGTGATTCAAAATGTTGTGAACAATATTTGTGTATTTTCTGTGACAAGTGACAACAAGATTCTCTGAACAAGTGGCACCAGGCTGCACATGATTCTCAAATGTAAGAGGCAACACTGCATTTCAGATATACCTGTCTTTCCACAAAGTGATCTCTTTGTGTATTTTGTAAGCTTTTTCGTTGTCAAAATTTGGTGTCGTCTGAAAACTGACCAACTCGAGGGAAAAAAATGGAGAAAACATGACTTTTGTGGTGCTGCCAAACTGTTGTGAATCTGGTTGAAAATTTGTGGGCAAGAGAATCACTTTGTGAAAGACTGTGCTAGTTGAAAGGACCATCTCTGAAATGATCTCTGACCTTTCTCTTGGTGTTTTGAGCATTAAAATGACTTGCCTTCAAATAAAGGCATTAACCAATCAGGGTTTAACTGTCTCTTTTGAGAGACAGCTGACAAATTTTCTTGTAAAAAGTGAGAGATGGTTCCTTTGCAGTAGTAAGCATTTAGGAAAAAAATCAAGTATCGAAAAAAAACGTATCCATTCCACGTGAATATTAATTGATTAATTATTACTGTGTAATTATTTTGTAATTTTGTACAAGTAGCTTGCCAGCATTGACATGGCTTGAAATGCTCACCTCTCAATCATTTGAGTTTTACCAAACTTCTTAGATGAAATTTGTCTTGTTAGTCTTCAATGTGTTGAGGTCGGGAAACTGCCAACTGCTCACTGGGAATAGGAAAAAAGGAAATTAATTTTCTTCTTGCCTTGTAAAGGTGTGACAGAAAATACCAGAAAATTTTTCATACTTCGTTTTTCCATATGGATCAGAAAAACATGACGGTAGAAGATCACACATAGGAATTGAAAATTTTGGTAACTTTCCATGTACTACACAATATATCATGTAGTAAACATAAACATCAAGGATGATATTAAGGGGATAAGTTTGCAAACCTCTTCCTGCTGTGTCCTCAAATTTTCACTGTTTACTGCCGACACAGTAGGAGAAGGTTTAATGTTGTATATTGTTTGCTGACTGCTGGGCAGGTAGGTGTGTCTATTGTTCAAATCCTACCCACATACTGAGCCACAGTTTGTACTCATGCACCAGCTTCCTCTGTCACCAACACCATCGTCCCAAAAATTACACCAGCACTGCAGGAAATTACGTCAAAGAATTGTCCGCCACACTTACTCTGTGTGATATCTCTACACCCAAGAAAGCTCTGCAGTTATAAAAGGGTTTCTTTCACTGACAGTGGTCAGTTTCCAAGAAAAATATCTTGAGAATATCGTAATCTCTACAGTGAAGAAGGTAAATGTACTTGAAGTACTGTCCAAATCTAATTCGAAACTGTACATATTATCATGAAGTGCGGAAAAAAAATACAACAGATAAAGTGTGGCAATGGCAGAAGATGCCCATTTTTTTATTTCCCCCCTTGTCTTGAGCAGTTTGCAGTTTTCCCTAGGTTGAATTTCCAGGAGGAATTCTTTTAGACAAACAGTGAATGATGAATTTATGGGAAGTCACACAAGCAGAAAAAATGAGAACGACCAAAATTTCTTGTCCTTTGAATATTGAAACTTCTGCTACACTGGAAAGGAGCATGTTGATGTGTGGATGTGTTTTTGACTGCTTAGGTTAGAGATTTGTCTCGGTGTGAGGCATTGTTATGACTGTATTAATGTTAATAGACATATTAATTCTTGTACTTATTGTATCACTGTTGTCTCTACAAAAAGTTGTATCCATAGTCCATACTTAGGAAACATTGGCCAAAAAAGAAACCTTACTCTACTTCTGTAAGACAAGTCTTGTGATTGGCTAGAATAGAAAATGTGAATTGTTTACATCCTCCAATCTTTGGATGTATCCCTACTTGTCATTGGTAATTGGTATGTTCCCAGTGAAAATCCTCAATTTTAAGAAAAGAAAAACCTATGGGTTTGTGAATTTACTGGGAAGTGTGAATATGATGTTTTAGGGTAGCAATAGACGGAAATCATGGTACCAGCAAAAGTTGGTTACTTTCTTGGTGAAAAAAAATGATGATATTTTTGTTCGGCCCAATAGTAACAAAGCAATGTGATACTGTGAGGTCTTTGTATGATAGGCTAGTAGTATACTATGTTGTGTAGAAGGAACAACAAGGAGGCTGTGTAACATGGGTGTTGTCGTTTCTCTCCATTCCACGCTAGTATCGTGCGACCACATGTGAAGCGTCCGTACAGAAGTCGATGTCTGCTATGAACAAAAAAATCATGTCAACTAGAATCTCGCTTTGATTTTCATACATCTACCTCCGTTTGTTGTGACTCCTGTGCGTGGATATTTGGTATACAAGAAAAAAAAGTAGTAGTTTTACATCTTGTATAGTCATTGAGCATATCCAGAGCTTCTTGTACAGTGTTATTTTTTATGGCAAAGTTGGCTTGTTATGTTGCAAATGTATGTACTTTGTACTTTTTTCCATGGAGTCGTTTTTACCTGTATTGAACCTTGTAAGCTTTTAGACAGTAGGCTAAATATTGTAGGCGTTGACAGGAAAATTTTCCTGGCTTTTGTGCAAATGATTAACCCCTCGCTTGCTGCATTTTGTGACTACATGTATAAGAGTGCGCTTAAGATTGTAGGTCCTTTTAAGTACTCTTAGAAGAGGCAATAAAGGTTAACAAATTGTTGTAAAGCCAATGTCCAGATTCTTTATGCGTTTGTACTTAATTTCATAGTCAATAGCAGAAAAACATACAATGCAAACATGAAAGAGATTAACTCAATGTATCCTAAGTAAGAACAAAGAATAACAATCAACAGTCACCATGGATGGTTTCTTATTGAATGGTCCTCACAAAATAAAAGTTGATATGCTGGACACCAGAAGAAGATAAAACCACAAGAAGCAAAGACTGACGTTACGAAGGGAAGGACATCATGCCTGATCAGACGAACATCTTAAGAAGTTGATTTCCTGTCCCAAGTCGTCTTCAAGACTGGATAAAGAGGGCACAGGTATGACTTCTGTACTTGCTCTGGGCTGGTGTTAGGTTGGTCTATATGTTGCTCTATATGTGATGATATGAATGTGCAAACACATCCACACACGTCTGACACGGCATGCTCCTTTCAGTCCCCAAATCTCAAAAGATCAGGATTTGCGTGGTCAAAAGACAGGATAGGTGAGGGTATATACCCCATTGGAAAGGAGGTACGATCTTGGCACAAGTGTTACTTCAACACTTGTTACTGGATTTCCTTTCTTCACATCTATGTTGTGTCTCAGGTCAGGTTTCTGGCTAGTCTGTGGTCTAAACCCAACCGGTTAGGCTGCCCAGCTCTGATTGGCCGTGATCCTTGATGGGTTTACCAATGACATTCCCTCCTCCTACTCTCCAAGCAGCTTATTTTGTACCTGTTTTAGGCATTTTTATCAGGCTTTCTTTTCTGTTCTTGTGGTGGTATTTTTTTTTTGGACACTGCCCTGGCAGTGATAATGTCTTCCCAAATTGATACTGCCTTGCAGCCACCAAAAGATCTGCTTGGAGATTACCCTCTTTCCACCCTCAACTTGTACTTTCCCTTACCAGTAGCCTGACCTGTGAGACTGCATCAACTGTGCTCTTCAGACGAGTCCATGGGCTTGTGTGAATGCAGTGTGACTGTTTTCATCCTAGATCTTTTTGTGTACTGAAAATCAGTGTAAACATGTATTAAACCTCTTAGTCTTAGATGCTTCAAAGGTTAAAGAAGCTTGCGAGCAAGTCAATTTTGGATGGTTTGATAAACTTGTGTGTGCCTGGGATGGAAAAAAAAATTAACCTCCAAGTCCCACTGGTTTCCCTATGATACCGGTAGCCAAATTTGCCATGTTAAGGGATCATACCTGGTAATATGAGCCTATTGTGACTTGGTTTTAAGCCACCAAGAAAGGATGTGTTGTAGTTACTCCAATAACAGCATGTTGATTTTCGTGCAATCATCGCAATCAAAATCTCCATCCATTCTCTTGAATTAAGCTGTACAAGGCATGGAAAAATATGATAGATCAGAAATATTACTCAGTGAAAAGGGCTGCCAAGGTAGCACTGATTCTTTCTTCCCTGCCTATACCATCTGTCATCTCTATGACAGAATAACCATTTTTACTCCGTGAAGGAGGTCAGGACCTCCGGACGGAGTGTTGTAATCGGCTGATTTTTCATGTTCGCAGTCAAAACACTGGGTTCTCTTCGTGTAATCGGCACGCAATTTTATACGCCGTCTGCGGGCATGCCCGTGTTGATGCACGAATGTGTATTTTTGCCGTTGCTGCTTTCGCGGTCAATGTAATATCGCAGACGCACCCCTACAATTACGAGGCGAATTGGAACGGTCCAGAAAAACGCGTTGTTTGGAATAGCGGGGGGGAGGTAAAAGTTCATGCAGATACGGGGTGGTTTTTATAAGTGGTTCCAGATGTTTTTGCCCATGGTTAAGAGATGCCAAGTTTTTTGGAAGATGTTCGCAGCCAAAACGCATTCTGCCGTACGTCGCATATCTGTGTAATTTCGCATGTGGTGTTGCATTATGTCCGGGATGATGCACGTCTTTTTATTTTTACCGTAGCTGTTTTGATATTGGAGTAAATGGTTATTTTCGAAACATCCCTACATTTACAATCCTGTGGAATAGACCGTAGGTTTAGGCAGTTGTCTGGTAGCAGAGGTACTGTAAGCAGATATCCTGGTTATCTGGCCGGCGGTAGTAACACTCGCGGTGCTTACCGCCACTGTTGCTGGAATTTGGCTTGTTCC